GCAGGAATGTGGACCTGCCGGCTAGTCCTCCGAATGGCTGCAGGCTCTGGGGCTGAACTGCCCCGCTGAAATCAAGTGTGCAGACTCATGTGAATCGCCCTGGCTGGCTGCTGCTTCTCTGCCCGAGAGGTTTGGCGCCGGTTCCCGCTCGGATCTGGGAATACCTTGCTGTGTATTCCCATGGCTCTTTACCCTTAATAGAGCTTTCTTGCCAGCCGAAGTCCTTAAAATGAAAGATGAGTGCCTCGTGGCTGCCTCCTCCCCGCGATACGCCAAATCCACAGCCTGCTGTAGGTGTATTCATGGCTATGGTGGAATATATGTGGTGGCTTTGCTTTTGTCTACCTCTTGATTTGCAAGTCTTCCTTAGATGGAGACACGCACACACACACTCTCTCTGCCCCCTTTATAGTATCGCTGTATGGAAGAGTGAAATTAAATGTGTGTGCGGACAGGCTCAAACTCCCATCTCCAAGCTGAGCCTTCAGGTTTTTATTTTTATCTCCTTCTTTTGTAGGAAATAGACAGACGGTTGGAAAAGAAGCTGAAGATCACGCAGAAGGAAAGGTAATGATGCTGCGCGGTTTGGAAAAATCCTTATTTTCCTGTGGTGCTGTTGGACATCCGAAGGCCTGGGGAGCGGGAACAGCGGGGGAAACGGCTTCAAACTGAGCAGAGCGCGCTGGGTTTGAGTTCAGAAATAGGGAATCTCTAATCGTGCCACTAGATGGCCCTTTCGATCCGTAGCAGGGTAGCGGAAAGCTTCTTGAGAGTGATTTTATTTCAGAGCCGGGTCTTCCAGACTGGATGTAGCTACAGCTATGGGGAAGCCATTTAAGAAAAAGACACTCAAAGGAAGAAATGGGTGAGTCAGGTAATCCCAGCTCATGGCCCTAAATTGGCTTGCCGTGTCTTGCGTCAGTAGGACTTTCTTTTCCTGCTTACTTTGGGGTGGGGTGCGAGGTGTGTGTGTTACTGTCTTCTAGCACAAATATTTCTAATCACTTCTGACAAGTCTGTTGTTGGGTTTTATTTTTTTTTCCCTTTGATTCTTAGTAGGCCACTTAAAGAGCCATGGTATTGCTTCTCTGGGACTTCCGCACAGAGAAGGGACCATAAAAAAAAATTCCAATGGTGAGACAGGGGCCAAGGCTGGCTCTGAGACGTGAATTGGCAGGGCTGGAGAGGAAGGCTGGGTATCGTGGAGAGAGGAGCCCTAAAAGTCCTTGCAGGGAATGAACTTGAGGTGCTCGTGCCGGTATCTTCAAATAGAAGTGCTAAAACATTTGCCCGGTGTCTGCTTCTCTTTCCTTCGGTCGAGTTTAAAGATGTGGAACGCAGCAGGCACTGGTTTTCTGTCCCTTACTGAGCTAATCTCCTGCGAACCCGCCTGCCGCTCTAGTTTAGGGTTACGAATATAACGAGGTCTTTAATTATTACAGGCTGCCTTCTTAATCATGGGAATGACATCTGACTGGGAGGAATTCACACTCGGAGTGAAAAACATGCTTGCTGTAGAAAACAAGTACCAACCAAATGTGGTTTGTTTTTGTTGTTTTGTTTGTTTTTTTTCTTTTAAACAGTAGAAAGTCAAAATCTCCTCCTAAAGTGCCGATTGTGATTCAGGACGACAGCCTTCCCGCCGGCCCTCCCCCGCAGATCCGCATCTTGAAGAGGCCGACGACCAACGGCGTGCTTAGCAATCCCAACTCCGCCAGCAGACCGGCCTTCCCCGTGAAATCCTTGGCGCAGAGGGAGGCGGAGTACGCGGAAGCCAGGAAACGAATATTGGGCAGCGCCAGCCCCGAAGAAGAGCAGGAGAAACCCATCCTCGATAGGTGAGGGAGCCCCGTCCTCGATAGCCGAGAGCAGCCTCTCGTGCCGCGGCAGCTTTGCCTGCGCTCCTCGCAAACACCTTCCTATCAGGAGGAGGGGGACGAGCCCCTTCAAGAGTCAAGTGAGGCCAACGAGGAGAAAAGAGGGCTTTGTTAGCGAGCAGGGCATCATAAATCTCAAATATATGGGAGTTAAGGGAAGCGCAAGCGCCCGATAAGGCTGTAAAGGTTTTCTTGGACTCTCAGAAGAGTGTTCTGGGGGTATAGAGAGGAGTGTGGGCAACCAGAGTTATCCTGGTGGGGCGTATCCTTGTCTTTCTGGAGGTTTTTGATGTCAATTTTTTTTTTCCAGAGGTTTTTTATGTTGATTTTTTTTTTCCAGAGGTTTTTAACATCAATTTTTTTTTCCAGAGGTTTTTGATGTCAATTTTTTCTGGAGGTGTTTGCCTTAAGGGAGCTGCCGCGTGCAGACGGGAGAGCGGAGCTTTAGGGCTTTTAAGTGAATGCAGGTTCTTCAAAAAAAGCACCTCGCTCTCCCTGGCGTTTCATTGTGGGTCTTGGCTACTTGCGAATAAGCCTCCCAAATCTTTGGAAAGAAATGAAGTCCTAGTTTGAGGGGGTTTTTTTGGGTGTTTTTTTCCTTTTTAAACCACGACAGCCTCTCATCTCCGTTCTCCTTGCAGGCCGCCGAGGCTCTCCCAGCCGGAAGACACCAGACAGCCCAACAATGTGATCAGGCAACCCCTGGGTCCCGATGGCTCACAAGGCTTCAAACAACGCAGATAAACGCGGGCGAGAGATGCTGCTGCGGAAGGCAGGGTCCGCCGCCACGGGTCGCACTGCCGTGACGGACAAACGGACTTGAGCAAAGGGAACTACCTGGTTTATTTGCACTGTGATCCCCTTTGCTCTGCCCACTGTGACCTTCAACCCCACGCACTGTGACCTCCCCTCTCCACCCACTGTGACCGGCAAACCGAGAAGGGCTGTCCCCGAGTCGCTGTCAAAGAAAAGGGGACGACGAGGCGGGGAGGGAGTATAAAGGACTCGGCTGGGTGCAGGGAGTCGTGTGTGTGTGTGCCACTTGGGTTGAAGCTAGCGCCAGCAATAATGTTTGTTGTACTCGTAACCTGGGATTTACGGAAAAAAGAAAAAAAAAAAAAAATATGGGAAGCCTCCCCAGACGCGCATGTTGTCCTCATCACTTTAAGAGCAAGTTCTGTTTCAAAGGATCTCTTTTTTTTTTTAATTTTATTTTATTTTTCCTGTTTGTTTTCTGTATATCAGCTCGACGGAGTGCACGGGAAGGGTTTTAACTGTTTGTTTTAATTGAGAAGAGGTAGTTAAGCGTTCGAAAAGGAGTTTCCGATGAATTTCTGCGACTTTAATGGCTCGGGTTTGGCAAGCTCTTGCTTCTCGTTCTCTATTTCTACCGCTGCCGAGCGCCTGGAATCGGACTCCCGGATACCTGGCCTTTCCCATCGCCTTGGGAGCCGGCGGAATCCGACGACCTGGTTTACGTCTTGCACCTGGTTAAAGCTTGGCTAGTATTTTCTGCTGGCTTTGAAGAAAAGCTTAAAATACAATTTTTTTTTTGTTTTGTTTTGTTCATTTTGTATTTGGGGAGAAGGGAATGTAGACGGATCCCGTGAAAATGCCTGCTGCCCGGCCGCTGCTTGCGACAGAGAGCTCCAGGCGGCGAAGAATTAGGGCTCCGTTATGAGGAGAATAGCCGGCACCGCTCCATGAAATCAATCCGCAGCGAGGAGCCCCGCTCCGGACGGCCCGCGCTCGTTGAGGGAGGAGCGGGGATGTCCCCAGGGTCAGAACCCGAGTGGCTTAACGACGACGGAGCAAAGGTTCCCCATCCGTGTCACGGTACGAGCTGCGTTTGCCTCCCGAAATCGCAACCGACGGGAACAAAACCGGCGTTGGATAAAGTCTGGATGATTCCTCCCGTCTTCCTGGTGGCATCTGGCTCCCCGCGAGGCTTCAGGGAAGGGATTTTCCTCCGCCGGCTCCTGGGAAGAGGACAGGGAGGCTGGTGGTCCGCAAGAAGGCGGATGTTTCCCTCGCCTTGGATGAAGCTGAGCTACCTTAATATCGCTTGATATCGAGGGATTCGATGAACACTAAATGCTCTCCCTGGAGGGGACGGTACCTAGAAAACAATTTCTGGTTATCGGCGGGTTATTCTGTACGGGGGCAGCCATCCTGCCGCTTCGTGCTCAGTAGGTTCAAGGGTAAACGAGCAAATCTTAACTCAGTCTTCTACCTGAAAGGAAGCAACCGTACAAAAAAGACATGTATGGAAATACGGCTTAAAAACAAACAAACAAACAAATACCGGTAAAATAAAACTACCTGTGTATAAAAAGAATCTGCTAGAGCATTAATTAGCTGATTAAAGCTGATTAAAGCACCGTGGACGGTGGCGAGGTGGGGACGGGTGGGCAGAGGTCCCCTGGGCATCCCCGACCGCCGGCGCTTTTTGGGAGGGTGGTTTGTATTTATTCCCCGCCTCCCCTGCGGGCTGGTGGTCAGGATGAGTCCCCGGGAGGGGGAGCGGGAGGGGAGAAGGTCGTCAGCAATAACAGTAGTCACCACGCCTTTCCTTAATTATTGCTAAAAATAGCTTTTAATGGCCAAAAAAACCAACCCCAAATCCACCTGGTTCCTGGTGTAGCTGGCAGGTGTTAAAGCTGCCGCCTCCTCCGGCACCAAAATCTCCATCTCTAGCACCGAAATGTCCTTCTGCACCAAAATGTCCCATCTCTGGCACCGAAATTTCCATCTCCGGCACCAAAATCTCCCGGCTCTTCCGTCCCCAGTGCCCAGGATACGTCCCGCCCGCGGGCAGGGCTGGGCGGCGTTCCTGCGGGATGCCCCTTCGGCCCGGGAAGGTGGAGGATAAAAACACGGTACCGCGTGTTTTCACCCCAAAACGTGCGCCGAAAAGAAAACGTTTTATAAATTGTATTTTAAATAAATGTCTTTAAACTTTTAACGACTTTTTTTTTTTTTCTTCTCCCCCTCCTTTATCCCCATCTCTCTTTGGGGCTGCTGCAAAAGGGACGTTTTGGTGGCAGCTTAAGCTCCCAGTGCAAGTAGATCGTTAAAAATTCGTCAGGAAGGTAAAATCTGGCAGCGTTCGGCCGTAATTGTGCCGGTATTTACCCAAAAAGGGGAAATTTTGCCCCGTTTTTAGGCTCGCGGGGGAGATGCGGTCTGTGGAGGGTGGGAAGGGGCTGTGCTCGGAAGGGAAGATGTGGTTTCCAAACCCAGGTGTGAGCTGTTTCCATGCTGCCTCTCATCACGGAGGATAAAAGAAGCGATTTTTATTTATTTTAATTTATTTTTTGTGCCACGTGCTGGCCTCCCTGCCCAGGCGCTGTTGGGATGCCTCCAGCCGGGGCAAGGAGGGGTCAGGGTACGCTCGCCAGCTCCCTCAGACCCTTTTAATTCTTATTTTTAATATTTATTTTTTTTTTTTAGTGCCAAATCGGAAAAAAAAAAAGGTGATTTTCAGCGCGGGGGTGTCGCTAAG